GCTAAGGTAAATTTGAACTGAGTGAAACAGTAGGATCGTGTTCTCTATACCAATTTGTTGGAGAATATCTTTAAGATAACTCCCGTCTAATGCAATCATCCGTAAACTACGTGTTGGAATAAACTAAACAATATATTAATATATTAATATGCTTAAGGTAGGAGTTAGGGTTATTATCTTTTGTTTTTTTTGAAGTGGGGTTAATCTTTATATCTTCACTGCTGGTTGGTAGAAGTGGTGGCTTAGTGGCAATCATCTGTAAGTCAACAAAATCCTTGTTTTAATTTCTTATATTGAGGAGGCCTTTTGTGGATGCTTAGTGATCTTTTTATAATAAATTTCTTTGTGGCCTTCATACATGTATGCTAGGACTCAGATTCTTGCTTCTTCTTTTTTTCTTTTCTCCATGTGTTGATTGAAAAAAGAATTATGAATGTCAAACGCTGTCAAAAGCGCTTTTAGCTCTTTACTACCAAACATGTTAATTAACAATTGTCAAACCCATAAAACAAATTTGTTGCCCATCTCCGCTCCGTAGACTTCTTTAATCACTTGGATTATCCACTTAATCTATGTTTAACTTTGGTATGGTGTTTCTTGGGTGCAAGTGGCAACGTGGGGGAGTTTTGTACCTTAAAAATAGAGGCCATTGACCTCCAAATTTTGTCACAAAGTCCTAACATTAAGCCTGAGTCATCGACATTAAACATTTTGTAAATCTACATGGGGCCCCAAAAATTCTCCAACTTTTTCAAAGAGGACAAAAGGGAGGGCATGGGCACTTTAAATGCACCGTCAACTTGGTGCCTCCACATAATACAGCCAGCGCCAGCACCTCCATTTCGCACGTGTGGTTGCGGTGGACGAACTCCGTCCACGAGTCAGAGACGGTCGGATTTTTGTCCGTTCCATATCGTGGACTGTATGTTAATGCATCTTCTTCTCTCCGGTCAAACGACATTTCGTTTGCCCTCCTCCACGTGGCGCTTTCTTCATTATACATAGGATTCCCATGATTGCATTATAATTATATTCTCATTTTTTCTTGAAGTAATAAATCTCATTTTTCTATACCTATTTTCCAGACCTTTCTCAATTTTGGTTTTTATGGTCTCATGCAAGTTGATCATCACACCCATTTATATATATATATATATATATATGAGATTTGGATGTTTATTGCTTTGAATCCCATGCAACTTTAAATATCCATGACATAAATTAAACATTTTACTAATTCAACCATTTTTATGGTAATATTTTCACTTATAATGTGTCCTCCTAAACTTCTTTGGTGGGTATTTTAAAGTAGTAAGATATTTTGAATTTATAGTGTAATATAATGAACGCGGAATGAGAATTCAAATCGTAAAGGGTTTGTAACTCAAGTGGTTAAGAGCAGTTATACAGTTGATTAAGAATTGTGAAAAGCCAATAACAATCATTTCAGAATAAAAATGAATGAGGCTCGTTATTGTATGAAATTTTGATAGAATATCATTAGGGTGAGACACTATGAGTGCGGTCACTAACAAGAATTGCTCCATTGATAATTGCCGATTGTAGATTTTAGGGTGCGTAGTGTAACAACGTATATCTCTGACCACCTCTCATTCTCAAGCTCACAACAAAGACGATTATAAAAAAAAATATTTTCATGTTTCTCTGCCAATCACATTTTTCTCACTTCATGAACATAACTTTTTTCGGTCGAAGAGAGCCAAAAGAAAATGTATACAAACTTGAATGCATCATGCGATGCGAAGACTCAATTTTTCTATCATAATTGGTCGCTGTCAGAGGAGACATCCAAATCGAAGAAAAAGACAATCTCTCAACTCTCTCTCTCTCTCTCTCTCCTCTCTCTCTCTCTCTCTCTCTCTCTCTCTCTCTCTCATTAGAGAGTAGGACCAAAAAAGGGGAAAGAGGAAAGAACTTCGGAGGGTGCTACATGTTGGGTTCATCTCATGTAGTCAGGAGGTGCTTCTTGATGAAGATGGACAGTGTGCTAAAAACATATATAGCAGACGTAAGATATATATGCTTCAAAAGGGCACATAGGATTCTCCTTATATGCTTTGAATTCAATAATGTTTGGCTTGACCATTCAAATTGTTATGGGACAATAATGAGCATGTCTCTTTGTTTTCATGGATCAAATTAGGGATGTATGTTCCTCCATGCTACATGTAATGCCATTCATTTTATGTAGCAGCATGCCTACATGTCGCAGCACACCGTCGTGGCGTTCGCATCTTAATTTCCGACCAAAACAATTTTGATTTAATTAACATTGAAATTTTGGATTTATCCCATATAAACCACACTTGGTGTGCTAATTATGCTTCTTCTTTTTTTAGGTTATCAATAATGACTAAGAAACATCGTGGAGGCTTCATGCAAATTGATTATGGATGAACAAATTTCCGCATTAGACAAACAAGATTTTATAATTGATTTGATCCTCCTTTAGAATAATATAATGGATGTCAATTGTTAGGATGTATTCAGTGTATTGCAACCTGGTTTCTGCTTTCAGAGAAGAATTTGGACCCCGATTTTGTATAAACTAGTACAATCCCTACCCTCTAATTGATCAAATGAATTAAAAATAAATGTAAGATTTTAGGCGCAACCACAATCCAATTCACAAATCCACAACACTCCTTCGTATGGGCCAGCTTTTAAAAGATTTTTAGAGGACCAAGTTTTGGGCTTCAACCCCTTCATCCATTTTTGCCTTTTCTGTGATTCAAAGAGGCCCATTAGTGACCCAAAATTAAATGCACCGATTTCAACAAAATAGAGCAGCGTTAGAGACTAGGCCTGTTGCTTGGGTTTTTGGGGCCAATTTGCCTAACCCTTGTCACAAAGAAGTCCAAAAGTGAAATGAAGCTCGTTTCGGGTTAGCCCAAGTAGCGAGTAAGGATTAGGTTAAGTCAATGGTTCGAAATTCTGATTGAAATTTCTATAAACAAAGTAAAATGTAAGCTTGTGAAGTTAGCCAAGCTACGTTAAGGGTTCGATTCCTTTCAATCGTAGCAAAAAGAAAAGAAAAAAAAGAGTGAAACAGTTTTGAGGCAGCTGTATGATAGCTAGATATAGTTGGCAAAACAGTTGACCTAGCTTAGCTATGGCATGTTTAGACAAGACAGCCGTTTTGGGGCACAAAGAAAGACGTAAACAATCTCGAGATAATTGATTTCTATACCAAATCAGGTCAACTAATTACTCCTTTTCGGTTTCTTTTTCGTGTTTGGTGAGCCATCAATTTTGTATGGCGGTGTCCAAACTTAGCGTGCTCATGCTACTTCAACTATATATAAAAGTACTACCCCTCTTGCTTATACAATAAGGAGAATGTAGTGGACCATATGAATTTATGTAACCCTACCTACATGCTATGGAGGACGGCGTTAATGGTGCATTGATATAATGGTTAGGTATGATTCGTTGTCCACACGATTTGCGAATGACTATCGTCATATTCGTTATATAACCGGCAAATACAAAAATTTATTAATAAATAAGGTGACACGATTCCTATACGCTGAAGATTATTGACACTATCTAGAATCCAATCTTGCATCTTATGGTGAGACACTTGCAATGTGTCATTGTCATCCAATTCTGTAGTTTTCTTCCCAAATTTTAGTTGACTTACAAACTAAAATTTAAAATTTGTACACTTGCGTGACAATTAGATTAGATTTTTGTTTTGGACGTGGTTTATGAAAGATAGGTTTGTATTGATTAACCTTATCCACAAGCCAACAATGGGTGGAAAGGAGGCTGATACAAAGAAAAGTTGGCAGGTTGTCTCATAAAGCATGCACAATCTGTATATGCTTTTGTAAACATATATTACTGATGTGAAACTAAATTTGATATCAAGGATGCAGAATTGTAGACATAAGATTATGCACGATTTGTTTCATAAGCATAACCCTTTAGCTAATGCCGGTTTTCTTTTCTGTTCTTTTATGTCGAAAGAAAAAATGCAAACCGAAGCCTGAGAGAGCAACGATTTAAAACATTAAGAAAAAATCAGTATTCAAATTTGAAAAATCTTTCAATATTGGGAAGATGAATAGAAATGTCATTAGACCAAAAGCTAATTAGTCGGATAAAATCACTTTGATTAGGAGGGACAAGTAGCAAAAGTACCAAGGGATATAGTTTTTCTTCTCTTGTCTTAGCTCAAAAGAAAACCTTCTCTTGGACTAAATCCTTAAAATAAAAAGAAAAGCAAAACTCAGTATATGCGAGGAACGGCCGTTTGAAAAAAGTGCAGCCATCTTCATGATTACAGAGGGGACAAAAGTTGAAAAAGTGATGTCATTTCCCCTCCTGAGATGCTTAAACCTATGCGTTTATTTCTGGGAGGATGTCAATACAGGGTTGACTGAAATCTGACCGTTGAGGTTTATTACCGTTCAATCCTACCGCACCTCACCTCCCTTCTTGAATTTGCATTTGCAAGAAGCTTCAATTTGGTGGGGCTTTTTTAAAAGATTGCATGAGATTTAATGGAAATGGCTGTCTTCACAAACCAGCTTTTCATGGCACTGGTGTTTCTAAACAAAGCGAAGCCCAAGCAAAATGCACTGTAAGTTGGTCTCAACAACAACATCACTCAAAAACCTTTACATTCTGATCACATAAGCCATCCAAAACTAAAATAATAAACATTTTCCAACAAAACAAAGAATGGAAATAAATTTAAAAGAAAAAAACCCACATTACACTAGAATGGACGTTACAGTGTTTGGATACATGGAAAAATGAGAAGAAAATGCGAGTCCAGACACGTTTAGTTACAAACCTGTTTAAATTTAAGAGGGTATTTCCTGCCTAAATCAGCTAGTGTTTTATCAAATACTAAAGAAACAAACCAACTTAGAATACACCAAAGCCAATCACCACCCATATATGTAAACATGAAAAAAGTCATCTTAAATACATCACACAGACCTAATCAGAGTTACCAATAGGCTATTTCACTGTAAGGAATCTACGTTCTTGCTCAGCTCCTCCAGCTTCTTCATCCTCAACTTCTCACTTTCACTCACCAGCTGCATCAAATGTAACATGACAACAGAACAACTTCAGACACAAATTGAAATGTAAAAAGACTTTGTATGCTTTCACTAGATTGAAATATAAGAACTTTAATTAGTGTCGGTTGAGAGTTTGGACGAGTTGAACTCCTAAACCGAGCCAAACCAAAATTTGAAGCAGGCTCAATTGCGGACAAGTTCAAGTTCAACCCATCCAAATTGCACACCTAGTTATGTAAGTAAAAGCAGTTTATTAGACTAACCTCCATTAGTTTTGTGATAAGCTGCACTTTTTCCCTGTTCTTTTCATTGAAAGCCTCAAGCGCGTCTCTGTATTCTTTTTCCTGTGACAAGTTACAAACCGAAATTCATTATGAACATGCATATGCCTAGCAGTAAAAACATTCACATCAAAATGTAGTAGAAGTCTTTAAGTTGTGTTACCTTCTTCTGGCAGGTGTGTCCTAGTGGCTTTAAGTCTTTGTTAATTGAATCGATCTTCTTACGGACCTGTGAAACTTCCTTCCTCATTGGATCTGCAAGCCCTTCAAGCTCCTGGAAGTTCCATAATTTACACAAGAAGGAAATTAATGACATAAAATTACCGACAACAATTTTTTTACTTCGCATTAGATTGCATGAAATTGAAAACCTAGACCAACATATATCCATTAAACATCTTCAACTAGTTAATAGTACTGACTCAACGGCTATTTTTTCTAGTTTAACCAGCAGAAGTCGATGCACATGCGATACAGATATTTTCAGCAAGGCATCCTTGGACTGATATTGTTGTGGCAAGCATAAAAAAACTGAGAAGACCTGACTATATGACAAATTTGCGGTTATTGAGAACCAAAAAAAAAACACTATTTGTTTTTGCCATCTCAAGGCTTATGTCTGTGCCTAAAAAGATTAAACTTCGTTGTCATAATTCCTCTGCCAAATTTCATATTTTGTTGTGTTAATAACCTTTGGATCAACAATCTAATCTGCCAAATAATTCAGACTTAATATTCCTTTTAACCAAAAGCTCCAAGGAAAATAGTAATAAAGTTGAAATTCCTTACATCAAAGTGTTCCATGGCATAATAAATTCAGACCTTTGATAATCTACAACCCAAATTTTTGCAAAGAGAAAAGAAAAGACAAAACAACACAATAATTTGAAAATAGACCCCCAATTTATTTCCTTTTTGTTTTTTGGGGATCTAGCTTGCCATCAACTTTTCTCAACCTTAAATTTTCAGAAAGTTAAATTCCCTTGTACCCAGAAATTTCTTTGCATAAATCATCATACCCATGTTTAGGTAAACCTTTAAAAAACAAAAACAAAAATAAAAATTGAGTCTTTGATTAAGCCCATAATTTTCATGTAAACCTTAAAAACTTGTGTTGGGATGACCAGAACAAACCTCACGAATAGTGGCCAAACGCTTGGTCTCCTCTTCAACACGACCCAACTGGGCTTGAACCTTTTCTCTGACCTCCATCTTCTTCCTCTCGATCTCCTCCTCTTTGGCTCTGAAAGTGGAAAGAGCCGACCTTGACATCTCTTCATCCTCCTTGGAGAGATTGCTGTTGAAGCTGAGGCTTCCAGCTGAGTTCTGCACCACCAGCTGCTGCTGCTGCTGCTGTGGCTGAGCCTGCTCTGTCTGCATCATCTCTTCAAGCTCTTCTTCGCACAAACAAAGAGCAACCTTTTTCCTGAATTTCTCTATTTCTTACCTTCCTCTTTCTCTGCCTCTCTTTTGCTTTTCTCTCTGCTTTGGTATGATGGGTTTTGGAGGTGTGCTCTGTATTTTCCTCCTCTGTGCGTTTGCAGTGCTTATGAATAAGTCTGTGGCTGTGGCTGAGGCTGAGAGGCTGGCGTTAAAGGTTTTAAAGCGTCAAGCCAGCAGCTTATTGTTCTTTAATGAACAAAACAATAAAAAAGAAATAAAAAAAGAAAATGAAAAAGAATTGGAAAAGCTTTTGGTCGAAATGACCCAACTGCCAACCACTGATAAAGAGATATTGTGCAATTCTACTTTACTGAATGAAATGCGGTGTGTCTTAAATTTTTTTTAAAAAAATAAACTTGTCTCTACCCGTTTATGTGCAGCCCACCTGCTAAATCCTAAATCCTCCCCCATTGGAATTTCAAATCTTTTGTTTTTATTGAAATCCCAATTTGAATTTTTTTACTGTGCTCAATTATTTCACCAATTGTAATGAAGTAGATACTATTGTTCTATAGCAATTCTAATGAACTAGATACTGTTTTTCTTTTTGATTGGGAAATGGAGTTGCCCATGAGAAATCGAGATGATTCTATTTTGTGATTTTTTTTTACATATTTGACTATGAATGGACAATCAAAATTTGATATTTCACGACACAAGATTGTTCGAAATTATCAATCAAGTATAATTTTCTCGTATCAAATAAGAAATGGTCTAACATTAATGAGTGTATTAACTGAAATATCTTTTTAAGTTGTACCGATACCTTTTAAGATAAAAACCTAACTAACAATTTATAATACATATAAGTTCCCTCGAAAGTGCATTTCACGAGACGAGAGTACAAATAGAACTTCTTGCATTTTCTTTATCATATAGAGATTCGAATTTAGGTCTATTTTGCTATGTTGCAATGTTGCAATGTTGGTAGACGGACAACTTCAACCCACCTTTTTTAACCCATTCACATGGGCTACACGCAAGCACATAATGCACTGGTAAAAAGAGAACATGATTATGCATATCAGAACACAGATGCCTATCTTTTTCAACCAAAAAAATACATATACATATGCATATGTGTCAACATATATTTAGGTTATTGGTCATTCTATCGAGCACCTTTTTGCCGAGTTTAATTTGTATGTGGAATCAGTTACAATATTGGGGAAAACAAAACATTAAATTAAATATAAATCTTGATAGAATCCATAATTGATACAAATTTCCTCAATCAATATGAAAATCTCAACGATACGCCTTCCTTCTTTTCCTAGCTCCATAATTGATGCTCAAGCATGATTTTCCTTATTTGAACCCCAATTTTCTGATTTTAATTTTTGTTTGTTTTCTAAATTCCTTCATAGGAACAAGCTTATAATTTGCCCTACATCACTTGATAATCTCAAACGATGAACACCGTAGAATGTATTAATTGCATAGATCAAAAAATGCATCCTACGATGTAGATGAGATATCGCTTAAATTTTTGTTTATGACATCCCACTTACAACATGTTGTTGTTACAAGTAACTAAATATGCAACCATTGTATCAATTTGACACATATCACATCCGCTATAATCCTGAGGGATGTGATAATTAATGTGACAGAACGATCTTTCTACCAGTTGCGAACAAATTTACAATGTGTGGCCTTGCGAGTTGCAAATAAACAAAGTGTTGAAAAACATGCAAGCTAGGGCCAAGAGACTGAAAAGACTAAAGAGTATGAGAAGGTTTCAAAGTGGTGAAGAAGTAAATGGGAAATTTGAGCCCATCCCTTGTACTTGTGGACAGCCAAGCCACAAGCCAGGGTGGTGGTGCTTAAGACTAAAGTTTGGTGTGGAGTGGACAGAAAGGGTCACCTACGCGCACACACACACTTGACCAGCGAGGCTGACAGAGAGGCGTAAGAGCCAAGGCAAAGTTGGACAAAGGCCACTGGCGGCAGCTTCCCTACCCTTTTGACAAATTTTACCTCCTTTCCGATGTGGGATTGGCCCTTCGAATCTCCCTTTTTCTTTTCTTTCTTTTAATTTTTTTTTATAAATATTTTTAATTTGGCTTTCTAATTCTTATTTTACTTGGTATGATTGAGTCAAGGTGTACTTTAAATATTCCAAAATGACATAATCTCTTGCTAATGGATTTCTACTTTTTCTCTTGCTTTCCCTTCTCTCTCTGTTGTGTTGTGAGGGGTGGAGGGGACCAACTCAACATTTTGACAATTTCAAACCTTGGAAATTAGGTTAGAGAAAATCAGATATCTGGGTTCAACGGTTGGGATCATTTGATAGAATCCTATAGAATCTCATTGTGGGTCCAATCCAATGGTGGGTGATCAGTGCACCCATTAGCGTACTAAGCATGCCTTGTTGCCAACTTTTACCTAATGACAGCATAAATAAGCTGTGCATTAAGCAATTGTTTTAGTGCACTCAAATGATTTGGATCTCAGAGGTTCAGGTTTTTGCAGGATGTCTGTTATATTTTGTTACCATCTAACAAAAACATGTTAGCAACAATATATTTTACATCACTTGTCTGTCTTGTATTTTTCTTTTTCTGTCACCAGAGAAAGAATCTTTGTGTTGTTGGGTTGGGGTGGCAGTTGTATGCCAACTCTCTCTCTCTCTCTCTCTCTCTCTCTCTCTCTCTCTCTCTCTCTCTCTCTCTCTCTCTCTCTCTCAGCCTGTGACAAATAAATGGCTACTTAATTTAGACAAACAGGTGTTAAGTAGTTAAATATTTTTGTTTCTGATCTGTTGGCTTTTGGACTCGTATAGCTTTTCATGGGTTGCTTGGCCTTTCAATTTGGAATCTTGTAGGAGGCTATGAATTTTCTTTTCTTTCCTTTTCTTTTCTTTTGTTTTGTTTATTTTTTAGAAAATAATGAGGCGCCTAATGAGGAAAAGAAAGAGCTACTAGACTAGAAAATCGGTTGGACCGACTTGTCTAAGTTGACCAAAGCTTTCAGAGACTCGTAGATCCACAAATATGCGTTCTTAATTCAACTTGGTGAGAAAATATATACACTCTGGTCTGTTATTCTCTCATATTTGGTTCATTGGAGATGGAATATTGAGCATTCTCTTTGCTTCCTCCCAAAACAATGGAATGAGCACGTCACTCCAAATTAAATGTTAGGAACAATAATTACGTGTGGCATGACAAGCATGACAAACACTTTTGTGTTTGTATATCAAGTGGAGGTGAAACACCGCAACCACCATGAAGATGAAACTAGGCATTGCTCATGTCACAGTGACAAGATTTTTCGTGTGGCCTTCTTCCTAATTTGTCCCGTAATTGTAAGTTTTACAATCTTTGGTGATGTCTGAATCTGAGTATTATATATATAATAAATCTACTATGTTATATATCAAACACCTAAAGATGCAAATTATTGTAGCTTAAAAGTTCATAAACAGTCAACGGCATCTAATCTAGTGAAAAACGACCTTAATTTGTAGATAAGTGGTCTCAGGTTCGATCCCCGATAGCACTTTAATAGTGTGTATGCGTGTGGTGAGAAACCATCATTCCATTTATCTCTTGTATTAAAAAAAGAAGAAGAAGTTCATATTATAAATTTGTACGAACCGTATAGGCTTGTATATTGATATTTAAACCATAAAACAGACAATAATAAATATATACATCTCTATGTTAGTTTGAAATTTATATATTTAAGCAGAATACTCCTGTAAAGAAAGATTTCGTGTGGGCTTCCAACTTGGCCTTACGAGTCTCTTTGCTGAATCTCTAAGTATTGGATTACTCTATTCTGTCATCATCAAACAAATACATTAATATACAATTGAGGGACCAAATAAATTAAGCTGAAAATATCCTAACCAATTTGTACTAACCATATTGTTTCTTTGTTACAATCGCAATCATGCAATATATTTTTGGAGCCTGTCAATTTCTCATCATTTTGAGGCCTGTTGTGATCTGTAACCTTCGGCATACTGGTGCGCAATGATGAATGCATATGTTTTGCAATGAATTAAATATATAAACCGACATGGAAAAGTGTCCAAATTAACATTATGTCATCCTAAATTTTGTTTTTAACTATAAGGATAAAATTAATATACGTCGTATTTTCAAATATCACTGTATTGAAAAACATATGAGACTTTATATAATCCTATATAGCTAAATCGTTCATATCCTTTGAAGATCGATACTATGATCAAGTAGCTCTTAGTCTAGTGGTATCTTTCTTTCCAATGTTCGAAAAGATCGGTGATATGATTGTTAAGCAATAATATTCAAGGAGAAAAGATATTGAGTGCATAATGTGTTAAACATCTATTGGTTTGATGAGTGATTAAATTTCACTGAAAACAGTCTTGTAATTCTTTACTCGAGCTGCCCAACTTGTGTTTGGGATTTCATGGGTTACGATATTTTGAATTTGGCTGGCCCAATCGTTCCATCCAAGCTCCAAATTGTAAGGAGCCCACATTTCTGTACCAAATTACGAGGAGCTTATTTCATTGGACACTCAATTAGATAAACTGTTAATTCTATTTTGCATCTCATTTGCATAAGGTGCAAATGGTGCGCTTTTGAACATAATCTCTCTTAATTCACTATCAAAATTCTGAATAATAAAAAGAAAAGATATTGATATTGCCTTCCAAACAAACATTTTGTCTTCCTGAAAGTACCCAGAAATTTATTTCCTCAAAATATAGGCAAGTTAGCATGATGAAATCAACGGTAGCGAGGAAGGGAGAGGGTGTTGTTTCTCTTCCAAGTTGCCCTGCGAGAAGGTCGTGCCTTGTGGTACAAGTGTCCCTTTCCTCCCAGTCCCCTGCATTTCTTACCAGCAGAAGTGAGCCCGCGAAGCTCCCTGTGCTTGTGAACAGGGTTGCAGAGCCAGTTGATTCTTGGGTCGTTTCTGATAGCATTATGAGCAACATCAACCAGTATCACCTCAAAGTACTTGTAGGTCGAATCCTGCATCCACAGATTGCAAAGGCAGAATAAGACACCATGAAACAAAACCAACACCAAGCAGCAGAGCACAAAAAGAAAGAGAAACAAAATCACATTCTGAGATACAAACCTCATTGATCCAGTATGAATTGAGAACCCTAAGGCCTCCCAATCTCCGCCCAGCGCGCTCCTCAGCAACAGACCTCTTGCTGCGCTGAAACTTAAGCTGTGTCACACCTTGGTTTGTGGGCTTCCCATATACAATGCCCTTGGCAACAGGCCTCTTGCGACCGCCACGCCTTACACGGATACGATAGACAACTTAACCCTGCAACATATTTTACTAGAATCATCAGCCAGAAGATCATCAACTAATTTAATTTAAACATGGCTGGGGCAACAAAGGGTGCATAAAAACAGACAACAAATGACAAGTCCAAAAACCAAACATATGATGTAGATCAAAACAGTGCAATGTATCGGATCGGGACAAAAGGAAGAACGCTTAAGCATCAGAATGCTGCTTAACCAACACATACTGGTGCACAACATAAGAAAACGCATGCTCACTGAAACGATAAGCAAGGGCATGAAAATAATAGACCTGATCTAGATATGCATCAAATAAGGCTGTTAACATAGGCATATGCAATAATGCAAGTCGACAGCCTACACGCCTATTAATTAACCTTGCTCATGAAATTAGAAAATCATTATTGAGTTACCTGCTTGGCCTTGTAACCCAAACGACGAGCCTTGTCAGGGCGGGTGGGTCTTGTGACTCGGACAATTGAAGGATGCTGGCGATATTCCCAACAGCGCACCCTCTGGACGAACCTCATCAAATCGGATTGCTTCTTCCTCCATATCTCCGACTGATACTTGTAACCTCCTGATAATTGATCACCAAAACAAAACAAACTCTCAAATCAAATACATGTTCATATTTTATACCACATATCATCACAGTCTCAAACAACACCCAATGTTGTAATTTTTCAACGAAACGATTACCGATCGAACTAATATAAAGCAACTAAAAACCCTAAATCATTAAGTCAAAATACTGTCGATACTTAATTTCGTGGAAATCATACAAAACCCAACTTCAGTCATAAACCACATCACAAAAACTATTTAAACCTTGAATTGTGGTGTGTTACCTAGAAAATGTAGGACACGACACAACTCTAAGCATCAGACAAATACCAACCCATTTAGTAAAATTCAGCTTCTATTTTTCTGCCACCGTCTTACGTACACATAGTTATGAACAACTTTTCACAAACACATACACATGCTCATAAGCCATTACTGGGATTTGGCAAACCAAAATGGACGCCATGTACAACAGTTCAAAAAGAATTTAAGAAAGTGAAAAGTTTAATACAATCGAAAGCTAAAAACCAAATACATATAAAACAGAGATTCGGCTGAAGTATCAGTGTCTCTGTAACTTGGAACAAACCCATGAAATTCCATATGAAAATGGAACTTAATAAGCTAGGGAGAGAGAGAAATGTACCCATTGTATCAGAAAGGAGCTACGACAATCAAGCTTCGGCTGTTCGTACGTGAGGGTTTATGAAGAAACCCTAATATTAAATTATCCGAGGATGGCGGGCCGGAGGAAAACGACAGCGTCCTATTTTGGCTTTCAAACAGGCTCTCAATTTCAGGTGGCCCAAAATTGAAAGGCCTTTTAACTAGCCTGCCATATTTTAAAATTCGGTTTACCCCATCTTTCAATCCAACAATCTACCAGACTTCTTGGGGCAACCAAGTTAGAAATTTGCAAAAATAGTCATTTTGTTCTAAATTATGAAGTGCTTATTATGGTTGACGTAGAATTGGTTTTATCTAAGGTCTCTAGATGAGGCCCTACCTCTTAATTGTTGGATCAAATTAGTTATTTTGATATAACAATTAAGAGATAAAACATCATCTAAGGCCCTCACTAGAATGACTCTATGGTTGACCTTCCAGTACAATTGTCAATTGGGCTAAACTAATGTGAAGCCCAACTTGTTTTGTTCAAAATCTTTGGGTCTCAAGGATTCTGAGACCAAAAACACCTACATCTTCTCAAACCCCAAACCCCATCTTAATATTTGACTCGATGTGAGTTAGAATAAGTTGCAAAAGTTGCAAAAACTCATTGTGAGTCTTGATGTGTTGTTTGTAGGGAGACCGATTCTCTGATAGTGTAACGCTGAGGAGGAGCTGATCTTTTGTTTTTTCCTTTCTGCAATCAAGTGGTAACGACGCTCTTTTTTGGTGTTCGGAGGTTGTTGAATAGCATTGTCATTCCTCTTGGTGCTTCCAATCCCTTGTTTGCTAGAAGGTTGTGTTTTGTGTCGCGTCTTAGTCTCAATGAGCCATACTCTCTTCCTTTCGAGGTTTTGGGAATATGACTTACTATGGGCCAGTTTGACATTACTGTGTTGTGAAAATAATTGCTGTCAAATTTGCTGTGAGAGAAATCAGTTGTGAGAGAAAGCAGTTTCATGTTTGGTAAACTTTTTGTTAAAAGTATTGTTGGTACTGATTCCAGCATAATCAGAAAATGATTGCCGCATAATCATTAAACCTAGCGCCTTTTTGAAACTGATTTTTGCATAATCAGAAAATCAAAGCACCTCATTAGCTACTTTCTCTCACATCAATTTTTAACAATAAGTGATTTTGTCATAGTTTACCAAACATGTTGAGCTTCCCAAAATTATTTAAAATTCACTTATCACCCCAAATAAGCAATGTTAAACCGGCACTATATCTATTGTAAACGCCTTTTATTTTGACATCTTTGGACCTCCTTACCCAAGAGGGTTTTCTCCTGTGCAAATGGAAGGTCCATTTCAGATAGTTGAAAAACAAACATAGATTCATAGACAACACAAAAAGATAGGCTTGGGGCATCATCTAACCTAAGGCTACAATTGAAAGCTTTAAGATATATCATTGCCATATTTCAGGTTTGCCGTCTTTAAAACCCATTGCAGCAACTTCAACCACCCAACACAAAATAAAGAAAAAAAAGAATACATGCGGTCCCATTTTGATGATGAGCTATCTGTTGTCGGTCCATGGAAAAAGTTATTGACATATAAAACTAGTTTTTATTTTGTCATATTTTAGCCTGAGAACGAAATAAACTAAAGATTTCAAACAAGGAGATTTGACTGCCTTGTAATGCACTAATGGCCCTATACTCCTATGCTACATATGTATAGGCTTTGCATTAGAATTCTGCTGCCTTGTTGCCACGTCTGACTCCGATTAATTAGTTAGTTCAATTCAAACCCACATGTTTTAGAAGATAATTAATCAGTTTGCAAATTATTCTAATTTAATATGTAGCCAGTTTTGATAATATTATTCTAAAATATATATACAAATCATACTTAAACCCTAATGATATCTCTTCGTATCAATCTGAGAATCTGAGAAGTGCAACTATGTAGTCCCATTATTTGTTACTAAGAGAGGAAAACATGGTCAATATTATTTTGTTTTTTAATATAAGCGATAGTCTAAACTACATAAGTGAGGAATTTCTTTCTCACATTACACACACAACTATAATGTCGTGAGAATTCGAATTTGAGACCTCTAAGCTTAAACCCCATTAAAGAAAACGTGGTCAATATAATAGACGATTTTATATTGCATGATTCAATGATTTTCTCATTAAATAGCAAAAGAGGATCTTCCATTAAAGAAGGAAAAGAAAATAGAAATGATGGGTTTTTCCAAAATTTTGTGTTATGTAGGTTCGGAATAAATGTCACAATATCATAAGTATGTCTCACTTCAATAACTAGGTTCATAGTAAAATGCTACTTCAAACACAAATAGTAAGTTTCACATTCGAACTTCAGATGTACCAACTACGAAAATTTTAACGAACAAAAATCTTTTGTACAAATATCATGAGTCTCACTTCAATTGATAAAATATCTTTGTACTTAAAACTGGCAAAATGCTATTTCAAGCACAAATAATATATTCGCTTACGAATCTCATTTGTGAAAATAATGAGAATTACAATGAAGAAAAGAGTTGCTATAGCGCGCTAGGAAATATATAAATTGACGAGTGACAACCTTTTTTTTTCGGGTTTTTAATGAAGAACAATTCTTACATGCTACAAATGTATACAATATCATTGTCACATACATTAGATAGGTACGAGGATATATACAGAAAGCTTTCTGGAAAAAAGGAAATAAAAAATTAAAACAAACCTCGAGAAAATAAGTCACGTGAAGGCACGTGAGATGAGCGTAAGCCTCGCGTGCCGGCGTGCCCTGCTTTTATCCTACAGAAAATGTTGAAAAAGCCTGGGACCCACGTGAACAGCTGTCTTTGAAGCTTTTTCTGACATTGGTGTCAGTGACGTATGCCTTCTCAGACATGTGACCACCCTTTTTTTATTAATTTTAAAATTTCTAATTATATTATAATTTTGGATTATATTAATCCCTAATAAAGACGAAGTAGCTGACGTGGATAGGTCAGGTGGGCCCCTGCCCAGATCCGTACGTGCAGTGGATCCAAGATGTCTTTTTTGCCAGTGGGTGGTCTCGCGGTAATTTATGTGGCTTGACAAATGTGCCCCCTAGAAACTGTCAAAATTCCCAAATGAAATTGCTTTGGGTTTGGGGGTCCATAGTCCAAAACCCATATGAAGACAACACACCCCCACGCCGCCCCACCTCAGTTTCCGTTATCCGCGTTTTCTACCTTATTATTTAGACAATTTTTTTCTTTCATTAAAAAAAAATATATATATATATCTTTTTTGGGGTCTAAATAATAAAAACATTTTTAGAACCTAGTTATTGTGATCTTTTTGTTTCATGTTTGTATTGTATATCACTTAATTTGTTCATCGATATTGGAGAGGGAAAATCAAACTTACGATCTCAAGTGCAGCATGTTTGTATTGTATATCATTTAATCTTTTTTGATACAATTGATATTGGGAGAAGGGATAATCGAATCTATAATCTTAGATGCATCAAGTTCGTATTGTATATCACTTAATCATTTTTTATACAATCGATATTGGGAGAAGGGAGAATCGAACCTCTAACTTCATATGCATCAAGTTCTTATTGTATATCACTTAATCATTTTTTATACAATTTATTTAAGTAAGTGAGAAATCGAACCTAAGACATCAAATGCAAGGATAACTGATCTTAGTCACTTAAACAACAAGCCATTTATGCATTTACTTTGAACATGTAACAGCTCAATAATAAAATGGGTTCTTTTAAAAAATCAAACTATCGCTATTCAAATAATAAATTTACACCAATTAAATGTCTCATTCAATTTATAATTTGACAATATAATTATTATTTTGATCACAGTTGATTCGGTAATGGCTCATTAAGTTGACTGGTTGGTAAACCACAGCAACAAAAAGTATCAATACATCCACTCGAGGCTCATCATTAACTCTGAATAACTCAGTTTAATTGGCAATGTATGAACAAAAAACATGCCTTGTACTTGATACTCTTATAAAAAATTTTAAAAAAAAACCCCAAAAAACAGAAGGAAAAAACACAAACGTTGATGAGTGTGAAAAATACCAATGAACACCTGAAAGTGCTCAGCTCGATCACAGTTTTAGATCTGACAGTATGAACTTCACTCATTGGTGCAAGTGTATAACTGTAAACACAAGTTTGGTTTGAGTCATATAAAACAACACAAAAGTGATTCTTTCTTTAATTTGTGTAAATTTAAAAGTAATAATGTACGACAGAAATATATAAATTGTGTGGAGCATTTTGTCAAAGGGCTAGGAGGGTAGGAGGCTATGAGTAGGTGCCAATGGTGTTGGAATTGAGTTGTCATGTCACTGCAGTAAATAGTGGTTGGTCAAATCGAATCCAACACATTAAAACAGAAAAAGAGGTTGAGGAGGAAGACAGCTTGGTTGGGTTGGGTAAAAGGAAAATGCCCCCAACCCAACCCACCCCACCAGTTCTACTTTCTGGAGTGTTTATGCTCAACCATCTGCCCTCCACTGGTCTTTTCTTTCCCAACTTGTTTCATTGCTTGCTCCCATATTGTTTACCTCATTGCCATTTGGTCAGCTATTTGTTTATTTTACTTTTTAACATAAGAGCAACTTCACCCATTTGCCCATTGTTATGGTAAGGGAAGGCTATGACATGCACTATTCACGTGAATAGTAGTTGCTCTTGCAAATAGTATTGTGTGTTTCCACCCATTGTCATGGCAAATGGCAATTACTATTCATTTTTTTGTGTTTTTCACAAATTTTTTTACCTCAATAATTAATTTGGATAATATTTTAGGATAAAATTTTTGGGTTCTTACGTGTCAATTCTATTCATATCTCATAATCGGTTAAAATTTTCGATTTCAAATTTCAAATTTTCGGATAAGATATCATGCTCCATGCTCCATGCCCCTCCGTTTTCAATAGAAAAGCCATAATATGATAGAGAAAAATAAAACTTGAAAGTGAAAAAAATATTGAGTATAAAGTGAATAATAGTAGAAGGAGAAGAAAATGTATGAGGATTTGGTGTTAAAAAAAAATTCAGTATTTTTTTAAAAAAATTTCAATTTTTTTCAATTTTTTTATTGCACAAAAATTGGCTACCGTTTGATTGGAGAAAAAAATTTGATCGGAGAACCCAGAGTGCGACAAGTGATTGTAGCAGCATTGTAGACTGTAGCGCACTATAGCTCGTTGACATCATCACCAAAACTTAGGCTGGAGCTCCGGCCAAGCCCTTGGGGCCAGCCCAGGTTGCTGGGTCCCACCTTGCGCCCGGGCTTCGGTTTGTTGCTGGAAACAGCTTTTTGGCCCAACCCCCCCCCTCCCCCCCGACAAGGGCTTGGGCTCCTCACTGGAGTTGCTCTAAGCGATAGTCTAAATTACATAAGAATGGAATAAGGGTTTCTCACACACTACTAAAGTATTATAATACTAAGGTACTATAAGAGTTCGAATATAAAACCATTTGTCTTCAAGTCAAACCCTTTTTCACTTCTCGTTAGCCCCCTTGTCAACTACTTAATTGGTTTTCATTAGGTTTGTGTAAATACTCTAAGGTTTTAGAACATGTTCCTAAGTTCCCTTTATTCTAATACTTTCGAACGAAAATACCAAAAAGAAAAAAGAGAGATTGAGTGAATGGAGATCTCTTTCATGTGTAAAAAGTGTTAGTAAAGGACAAAGCCATAGATGTGTACTGTTTATAACGAGTACTTGTGGGGGTTTCAAATTCGTTTTCCCACTTGGTCTCATTGTAAAAAAATAAATTATATTTTTGGTTCTCATATTTTGTCTTTTTATTTTTATTTTTTATTACTTTGATCTTGTTTCAATTTTGACAATTTCAATCATGCGATCTTCTCTCATTATAATCCCGTCCAACTAAGATTATGCATAACACGATCCTTTCTTCTTTGTGTAAAGAAGTTGTTAACAACGAAGAATATGTTTTACAAGAGAAGGTTACTCTTGACTCATGTTTAAAGATGTCAATACTCATCATATTAGTTTTCATATTTTCATCCAATATTTTTAAGTGCATTAAAAACTCCTTAAAAGTAATGCGAAATCCCATTTCATACCAAGATTAAAGTAATACTTATACATTGCTTTAATAGTTTAATTACTTTTTTTTTAATGATACCTAATAGTTGAATTACTTTGATATAAGAAATTAGTTTATTTTCCACTCCCCATATATAAGTAAAAGTAAATACATTACAAATGCAAATTAATGTAGGTAAGGGGAGCTGCGTCTGCGGAGCCCACTTTTGTGCCCTTTACCAGACTCACTACTTTGTATATGGCTTGACTTGAGTGGCTTCATTTTCAATCCCCTCCTTAGCTAATTCATCTAATTCCTAATATATTATTATAGATTTCATTCTTTGAATAATTATGAAAATAATAAGTAAAACAAGAGAAGATAGATGTTGTGAAAGAATTAGACAAGTTTCTTAGTTGAGTTGAGTTGAGTTATAGAAAAGAAAAGAGAAATGTAGAACTCATACACAATTGACAATTCAAAGGATGTTTTGCAATATACATTCTGACATGTTAATATTGACAAAAGTCATTTTATATTTATGGAACTTTACTTTTTAAAGCCCGGATATTGTTGGATTGAGTAATTTGAAAGAGAAATTTTGGATCCGGTAATAATACTAAAATTGCTACAAAATAAGAATGAAAAAATAGTTATATTCGTAACAACTTGTTATTTTTGGCATAAAGGAACAAAAGTGAGTAGACCACATTGATTTAAACGGACAATGAGAAAACACGAACGAAGATTAACTTACACTTGAAAAACGACTATATGCAATGCATCATTTGAAATCAATTTATTTATTTTCTGTTTTCTTGTTTAAATTTTAGCATATGTGAATTGTGGAAATCTAAACAAATAGTTTTGCCATATTAATTCCTAAATTTGGAATTAATGCATCCAAATCAACCTTAGATGTTTTGACAACAATCCAAAATAATATCATACTGGAACTGGTGAAGAAAAGAATATTAGCCTTGAAAGCTGATTGATAAAGCCTGAGCTAGGCTGCAATGTCGGCTTGACTCTCTCTCTCTCTCTCTCTCTCTCTCTCTCTCTCTTATTATATCATGCATATGCCTCTAGGGTCTTGGGTTCAGATGAGCTAGCTTGATTAAATAAATGGAAAAACAGATTAAGCCTAATAAAAACACACTTCTGCTATTTCCAAAGCAAAGCAGATAGACAGAGAAACTGCAGGTTCTCTCCTCTCTCTCTCTCTCTCTCTCTCTCTCTCTCTCTCTCTCTCTCTCTCTCTCTAGCTCTAGCTATCTATTTGTTGCAGTTTTTTTAAGCTCCTTTTTTAATTATTAGTTTTCCCTCAACTGTCTTGTCTGAGTGTCTTTTTCTCAAGTGCCTCAGGCTTCTTCACTGGCCTTAAACAAACTTTGCAGGCTTTTCTGTCAGAATGTGAGGTATCTGCCAAAGCTATAAAAGAACCCACAGAAGCCTCTGCCTAAAGCTTTCTCAAACTTTCTCTTCACTTAAAACCCAATTCATTTCACACCCAACAAACATATTATTAAAACTCAATCAGAAAACCAAACCAAACTTATTAAACCCCACCTCTCTCTCTCTATCTCTCTCTCTCTCTCTCTCTATGGACTTTCACCTCAAGCAATGGAGAAACCAGCAGCATGAGTCAGAGGAACAACATTCTGCAAAGATACCAAAACTTCACCTTGAGCCCCATCCGCGCTCAGAGCCATCTGGGTATGCTCTCCCTCTGTTTGTTCCTGAGCCCAACAGCAAAATGATCAGCACCCTGTCAGCGTTTTCTGAATCTACACCAGCATCTGCCTCCACCAGATTTCCCAGTGAGATTTTCTTTCCCTTTCCCTTTTCTTTCTTCTTTCTTCTTCTTTCTTATGTCACAGACACAGCAACCCACAAAGTGTTTTTGATTCTTGGAATAGAAAAGCTCATGTCTTTGTTTGGTTTTCTTCCCAAGTTTTCTACTTTAATGTCATCTTAATTTAATTCTTGTTCCTCTGCTTTTTGTGTGTGTCTGTTTTCTAGAAATGGGGAGCTATTTCAGCTTCTCCCAGTTGCAGGAGCTTGAGCTGCAGGCTTTGATATTCAGGTACATGTTAGCTGGTGCTGCTGTTCCTCCTGAACTTCTTCAGCCAATCAGGAAAAGCCTTCTCCACTCTTCTCCTCCATATTTCCTCCACCACCCTCTTCAACAGTACCCTCATTTTCAGCCTGCTTGTAAGTATTTACCTCAACATGAGTAAATCAATCATTGTAGCAAATTTTGATTCTGATCTTTAACAAATAGTACCTCATTTAAATTGCCCATTGGACATATTTGTACAAGTAATGTGTAAGACTAGGACTGAGATTTGTTCTGCCTAATTTGAAGGACCAAATGTCACATAAATGTTACTTTCCCTAATTGGTACATATATATATATATATGTATATTTATGCAACCTAAGATTTTGAGTCACTTGAGCTTGAACATTAATCCATGAGGATAACGATTTTCGCACTCCTCTTCTCTTTTTAACCTAATGCACGCCAAATTGAATATTTTACAAATTTCTCTGCACTCGCGACGCAGCGACATAAGTGCAGAGGATAAAAATGGTGCTAAAAGAATCACTAGCTAGCCATGGTATTGATAATTATGTGCTGGATTATCCAGTGTTGCAATCAGGGTATTGGGGAAGAGCAGCCATGGATCCAGAGCCAACAAGGTGTAGAAGGACAGATGGCAAGAAATGGAGGTGTTCTAGAGATGTGGTGGCTGGTCAGAAGTACTGTGAGCGCCATGTGCACCGTGGCAGAAACCGTTCAAGAAAGCCTGTGGAAGCCACCACTGCTGCTGCTGGTGGAGGGACTAGTGATATTGCTACCAACACCACCACCAAGACGTCATCTGGTGGGGCCCATTTTACTCTTGCTGGGTCATCATCATCCCCTTCAATTGATCTGCTTCATCTCAACCAGAGGTGAAAAAAGAAATAAAAACCAAAGCTTTCTGGGTTTATTTTATTTGGATTTATTGATTAAACTGTGCTAGAGATTTGCTTTTGGATATGTTTATTGGGTTTATTATGTGGAAGTTGGTATAGGGGTTGATCCTCAACTGGAATGATTGACCAGAAAAATGAAATTGAAATTAATAGCACTCAAAGCAACAAAAAAATTAGGTGAAATGTTTTCCTGAGGCCCCCCCTTTTCCCTTGTCCTTTTTGTTGATGTTTTAGAGACAAGAAATTTGAAAATGAGAGAATCTCATGGGCCCTGTGGTAGGCATGTTCTCTACTTTGAAGTAGAGGATCTTAATATAAAGGCAAGGTTAATAATGTCTCAAATCTGACAAAGAAAAGAGCTTTTTAGCCTGTGTAGAGAGCTATGCCCTCAATAATTTATTGAGCTATTGCCTATGCACTTGTAGTCTTGCAACCTTTTCTTTGTTATTTGTGCTATTTGTGGAACTTGTTCTTATTGGTATTTCTTGCTCTTACATGCTCCTCTCCCATGTCACATGTAGGTCTTCAGAGTCCAAAGCTGAGAACAGGAGCCTCTTTGAACCCCACAGTGAGGTCTCCAGGAGTGCTAAATCCGACAGCCATGTCTTGCGGCCTTTTTTTGATGACTGGCCGGGGAAGCTCCAAGAACTGGACAATGCACGAACCAATGCTGGCTCAATGAACTCTGCCACCAGCCTCTCCATTTCGATACGGGGAAATTCCTCCTCGGATGTGTCACTGAAATTGTCTACCGGCAATGGAGTCGAGACAGGGCGCCAGGACGGCCATGCTGAGCGCGAGCAGCCACAATTGAATTGGCCTGCCGGATGGGGAACAAACCAAATGGCTTCCATGGGAGGGCCGCTTGCGGAGGCCCTTAGGTCCTCCTCCAACTCCAATTCCTCACCAACCAGTGTTCTACATCAGTTGCCCCGCAGCTCCGCCTCAGAAACTAGCTTTATCAGCACTTGAATATCAGCACATCAGAGAGTCCCGGCGAGCTTCTCTTAGTTGCCTGTGTAAATTGCTCGCATTATTTTATTTAACCGGATGAGTTCTGTGGATGTTTAACCATGAACAACTTCGTTACTTATGTTTTTAAATGCGCGATTGCAAATTACTTTGGTTAGTTCTGACCTAGAATTTCAGAACATGTTTTCAAAGTAAATAACAATTTGAGCATGAAAGATTGAAGACCCATCATATTGCCGAGAACAAAATTTTGGTGAGTGCCAGATGTATGGTAACTTACATAAATTAAAATGTAACACAACATTCAGCTACATGGCTATCTATACATGGAAAATCTCTACCTTTGTCATCCACAGAGATTAACTTTGGAAAATAATTACACAAGAAATTGTCACAAACTGCCACATTAGTCTACGTTATAGGCCCAAGTAGGGAATGGTCGTCTGAACTCTGCTTAAATTCTCTCAATTTAGCAGTTTATGTTTTGCGTTTTGCCTTGTCAACCTCTGATTCTTCTGACTTTGGGTTTCTCATTACCGCCAAAGGTGGCAAGATAGTTCAACATGGACTGCACTTTTATTAGCCAATGTACAGGGCGTCTGCCTTAGGAGTGCAGCAAGATGTAGACATTCTCAGCACCAGATGTATATTAGAACCAAAATCAGTCTTTAGCAGGTCCCGCTACGAGAGCGTAGACCACAGCTGTTCTACAAGGTGCATATAGCAGGAAAGAATGAGGCCGGTCATCAAACCACCCGTCCTGCAGATCACAATGAGGGTTTAGCATCCAGAAGTCTTATATGATAGCACTAGAATGAAGCGCTGAGATTCAGTTACTGATCAAACGAAAATTTCTTACAGTCGTGAAGTACTCAGCACTGTGATCAATCCTATTGAAACCTCCAAATAATTTTTCATCTGAATCCAAGACAATCTGCAACAAGGAACACAGCAAACAATATCAAGATGCTGAAAAGATTTAATCAATGCTTGAAAGGAAATGTGAAAGCACGGAAAGAACTAGTGTATTTGGCAAGCCAACCGAGTGTATAACATAATTTTATAGGGGATATACCTTATACTTCCCTGGCTTTAAGCAGCCAACTCGGTAGTCTGAATAGCTTTTACTCCAATGAAAATTGAAGACAAACACCAGGTTTCCCCTTTCAAAGACAATAACCCTATCTCCTTCATCCTTCCGTGATATATATTGGTGCTCAGAAGTCATGAACTGCATCAACAGTTGACCAATGTTCATACTAGAATTTATCAGATCACAAGTGGCAAAGTAGTATGGGTCTGCCACAACTGCAAGTTTCACATAACTGATGGAGAAGAATATTTTAAATCTAAACGGAAATATAATCATATAAGGCAATCAAGCAAACTGTTATTACTAATTATATAAAGGGTGATCTTAAACTTTGACTACCATAATTGATTATTAGTTTGTACGAGACATGCTAAAGGAATAGGATCCTATTATATTTTCTTTACTGATATTGTGCTTATACCTAAAATGACGTCTGATTTAAAGTTTCTAGGATTAAGCACTTCGAGTAGAGGGTTTGGATGCCAGAGCTTTAACATCCGACTTCCAAGAGAAAGAGAATAGTAACAGGTAGCAGATGCATTTCTTGTCTTGCATTTTACTATTCCCTGAACTATAAGGAGGCATGAGAAGAGAATAAGAAAGCCAGAAAAACCGTAGTTTTTCCTGCTGGTTAAAAGAAGGAGAACCAGGGTTACTCTTTTCTGCAAGATCTGTGAGTACACAGATAAAATTGTGCCTTTAACAATTCATAAGCCACTGAAAATAATTACAAGAAATCAACAGAATTTTAAATCCATCGAAAATAGAAATAAATATGTCATTCAGTAATCCATGCCCTAAGCAACCGGCACATATAGATGTTATAGCAAAACTTACACAATAGGTTTCTTCAAGATGCTGCATTGCTTGATCAAATTCTTGCAGCCCATGATATCTTAGATAATTTGCATCCCCCTGACCATGCAGAACCAAAAAAATTCATAAAAAGTACAATGTAATCAGAGGCACGATGGTTACACAGAATTTTTTTGTTGCAAGGTCAGCATACTCTTAAAGAACCAGGAATTTTAAAAAGGATATGCAAAGTTTGTAAAAGTTCAAGAGCTTCATGTGCAGCATAAATGGCAAAGAGATGGAAAAGGGCTGGATCCATGCCTAAGGCGCATGAACAATTATGAACGGGGAAGAGCTGTGGGCATCAAAAAATTTGAAAGCGTGTTAATTGAGGATATTCTTACTAAAAGAATTGAGAGGGTCCGTGAGTTGAGAAATGAGAAGTACAAGAGAGATCAAGTTGCTATTGGGTTGCTTTTTTAATAGTGTCTCACATTATATCTTTGCTTCGGCTCGTAATTTGCTAGTAATAGCAATGTCAAGATCAAATATATCTTGATATTTTTAATAGCACAAATATGTTATTAGGTTACTAATCAAATTGACTTTGGCTAGTAAATTTTATATTTCCTTTACAATTAGCATTTGATTGTAATATGTTATCTTGTTCTTCAGTTTCCTATAAATTACTATGCCTCCACATATCATGCATTGCTTCACTTAGTCACCATCAGAACTAAACACCCTTCTTGTTACATAATTAACCAAAAATTTGCTCCACAAAAGTGAAACATCTAATAGGCATACTGTAATGCATATGGTAATGCACACTTGTATTATAAGAACTTACAAGATCAAATCTACGTCGGCATTTGTCAAAACTGTTATTGTTCCCAGGAACTAATTTTCCATTTGGAAGATGTTGAGTACCTCTTGGAAAATCAATCCACTCTGAACAGAAAAATAAACCAAAGACATGAAACTGAGTGGCAGTTTGATAGAAATGATGATATGCAATATAACCAATTGGCCTAATCTTACCAGGATGTCCAAATTCATTCCCCATGAAGTTCAGATATCCTTCTCCGCCCAATCCCATAGTAATAAGCCTAATCATTTTATGTAATGCTATTCCACGATCTACAAGGGGAGTGGCTGGCCTGTCCAGAGCCATGAAATCATACATATCCTGAGAGAAGCATAAAATATTCTAATATAAGAAACAAAACTACACAATTGTTGTAATCATACTTCAAAAGTAATAACAATAGCTAAAAAATTTCCAACATTTCTTATGCTTGCATGCATAAATAGATATATAACAGGTGAATTTGAATACAGACCAGAGTTACCAGGATAGTGGCACATTTGGGTTCGTGGTATGGGAACATGAATGAGATTCATTTATCAATTACTTCAAATAATAAGAACAAGTTAATATTTCCAGATGTGTGTCTTCAGAATACTAATCAAGAGAGCAGTTTCCTTAGAACAAAGGTCCAAAGTCATTTTCAATATCTTGCTTCATTAGAGCCAAACAAAATCACCGCACATGATGGAAACCTATCAATAATCGCCAAAACAATATAACCTCTTTTTTTAATTTTCTTTTCCTAACAATTATAAACTCCTTAGGATCATATATATCATATAACGATCATTAAGTTTATCAACAGTAAGTGAGGAATACACGTTTCTGGTAATAAAAGAAGTTTGAAATTATGCACATACAAAAGAGTTTGCAACTTCATCAAGTGTTGTTGCCAACCAGTTAAAACTATATAGTAACCAATTTATCAAAATGGGGACTGAACAGAGAAAATGTATTTGAAACAAATTCAACTGGGTATGTGCACAAAACAACATTAGCATGTTGTTCAATCTTTTCATGTGTATAAGCCCTTAAAGTTGAGTGATATGCAAAAATGCAACTTATATAACCTTGTCCATCAACCAGAACGCAATTGTTTTGTCACCAACAAGAGCTTGGTCATGACTTTCAGCATAAGCAACACACTTTTCCCGCCACCTTCTGTTGGTGAGTGTGTGAACAATATCACCCATTTGCCACTCTTCATCCATTTTCCTACATAAAATTTAGTGTAACAATATGGCAACAAAAGATTATTGGTTTTATTCATGAATGCCACCTACAACAGAGATAGATACAAGATCCTCTAACTTCAAAAATGGAGCAGAGATTTGTTTATTTATTTATGACAACTTACTGGAGGAGCTCAATCCATTTATCCGCAATAGCCATATGCAGGCGAGAATCAAATCCAACACCACCATCTTGTACAGAAACACAGAATGTTGGCATTCCACTAACCTGTAATGATAGAAATATTCAAAAGAAATATAACAGTCTACAAATAGGGCATTTTCATCATCAATATTTTAAACCCAGTTGGACAGGATTTATTATACTTGACTTTTACAATCAGTTGATACCAACACTGCAAATATTTATGGCTGTTGTTTCTATGCATAAGTCAGTAAGCTCCTCTACTAAACCCTCCTCAAACTCGAAGGGTCAATTTCGTTTATAACTCAAATCTGGCTGTAATTTTTTTTTCTTCTTCTGTTTAAATGAGAAAGATTAAAATGCTCATCTGAATAGAAATAATGGTAACAACACAGGAAATTCTATGTGTTAAAGATCAGGCGGAAAATAAAAAATTTACGAAAAAAGAATGTAAGATGGAGGTAAAGCCTTTTATTTTTCTTATTTCAAGATACCAAACCCAGTAAACAGGTTATTTTCAGTTCTGTGCACTATGAAATCTAAATTTATTACTGATAACATATAATTTCCAACAGAAAGGATGCTCAACACTACTTCTGAAAGGGAATAGATAACATACATCTTCACCAATGGTAACAGCTTCAGGGTAGAGCCCGTGAATCAAATCATTAACCAGCATCAAGTAAGTCACAGCATCTACATCTGTTGCTAATCCAAAGTACTCATTGTAATTCCCAGTAAATGCCACCTACAGCAGCTCGACCAGCAAAAAAATAAGTATAAGAAACTGACATAACTTGAACCATAGTAACATATGTAGAATCGTAGAGAAAATACATAAATTATTATTTTAACATGGAAGAAAATAGCATGGGCATCTTCTATAACTTTCTTATACATAAAGTCTCTTGTGAGATCTTGGAACATTAAAGATATATAAACTCAACTGAGCTAATCCTTTATCCTAAAAAGTAAGTATCAAAGACACAAGTAATACATCAAAAGCTTATTTAATACCAACACATTGAGCATTAAATAGCAAAATATCCTTAATATCATATATGTATTCAGCCTTGCATGTGTTAGCTAAAATGCTTTCATGTGTTCCCAGAACTTGCGCTCCTTTTATGTTCTTTGTAACTATTATTCTCCTGAACTCTCTCTCTCTCTCTCTCTCTCTCTCTCTCACTCTCAAATACATACACAGACACACTTTCCACTTATTATGCTTGGGAAATTTTTCTTTGGGGTGGACAAACCTCCACCTGTAGTTTTTAACAACTCACTTTCAAACTCCTAAAAATCAAGGAATTAAATGTTTGCATACAAATATATGAAGGTCCCTAAATACAGAGATGTCTATGGGAATACCGACACTGATATTGGACATCAACATTATGTAAAATCATGCTGACAATAGGCAAGCATGAAAGTTTTTTCGACCTTAAAAGTATATGATGATAATAAATAATGTGAAGTCATAACATAACCAAAATAAATGGCATAAAATAATGTGCTCTCTTGTTTCAGTGAAACTTAAGAATGAATGGCATGCAATGCAAGTCATTCAGCTAACATTATTAAAGAAGGCAATGGAAACGAAAATGGTACCTGCAATCCATGGTGAGTGTACATCATTGAAGTCACACCATCAAATCTGAACCCATCGAACTTGTATTCTTCTAGCCACCATCTTGCATTGGAAAGAAGATACCTCAAAACCTAGGTAAAAAGTTAAAATTAGTATCTAATAAACATAGAATAAAACAAAAGGATCAAGGCCAAAATTCTTATAGTACACTATTTATTTTAAGAAAGCATGCAAGAAAGTACTCACCTCCCAGCTTCCATAGTTAAACAAGCGGGAATCCCACATCCAATGATATCCCCGGGACCCAGAGTGGAAGTAATGACTATTGGTTCCATCAAACATGTTCAACCCATCCAACACGTTATTTGATGCATGGCTGTATGTGTTAAATATTAGTATTCAGATATTTAGAAAAATAAGTTCATAGTAATTAACATATAATATTAAGTACAAAAGCCTGATTCATGCAAAAATATTCCAACAGCATACAAAGTAACAAATAATTTGACAGTACCAAGCCAAATAAAAATGAGTTTAGTGATACATTAAAATATTCGAGGAAGTCTGTCACATCAAATAGACTAAAGATAGTACAATGAGTATATAAAACAATCGTCGAAACTTAATCAGTATTTCTGTTATGCCCCATTGCTTTCATAGTCAGCCACAGGGAGGTGGGGATAAACTCATATATTTATCACATGTTTATTTTTGTAACCTCAATTGCACATGTGCTGTTTGTCCTATCAGTATTTAGTTTGAGAGAAAGGAAGCCCGAACACAAAAACTTTATAAACTTATGTGCATGCAAGCACATGAACAAAAAATAAACGAAAGGGGAAAAAAAGGCACTTCAAATGTGGAATATATGATTAATCCAAAGATGTCTCCAAGAACTTATGACCTATCTCCTATGAACAATTAGTTATTACCTGTGAACAATATCCATGAGTACAAGAATACCAAGCTCATGAGCTTATCTATTAGAGACTTCAGATCGTCAGGGGTTCCACAGCGACTGCTAGGTGCAAAAAAATTGGTAACATGGTACCTGCATCACAAAAATAGAAAATTTCAGGATCATTTTTAGAGAACAAAGGGAATGTCAACCACTCAAAAACAAGCACCACCTGTAATACTGCCTACTACCAATCCATTAGTTCATATAGAATAATTTCCCAAAAGATAAAATGGAGTACATATAGTTGGAGCATATGTTAAAAGGACAATACCCAAAGCTAGCATAGTAGGAGTGCTCTTGAATAGCCATGAGCTGAACAGCATTATAACCAAGCCTTTTAATGCGTGGTAGCACATCATCTCTAAATTCAGCATATGTGTTGATTTTGGGCTCCTGCAACTCAATGTTAATAATACTGTGAGGGTAGAAAATTTTAATACATAATAAGAAATCAAAAGGAAGAAGAGGTCTGAGACAGGTTTATGGCACATCTCAGGCATCTGTTAAATTTTCATTAAAAAATATTAATAAGACATACCCAATTAATAAATGAAATACCCCCACCCCTCTTTTTCCAAAAACAACAAAAACTAAAAATGCCAAATCAATCTCTCTGAAGGCACAGGTGTTGGGCAGTAATAATCTAAACTATTCTGGTGTTCTTTTGTATTTTTAATATGTTATGGAAACTTCAAAGGATTAGTGGCCAAGTGAAATTTTCCCTGGACACCATATTTTATTCATGAGTGAAAAAGGGTTTATGACAGAACTTAGGGTATCCCATATTTCATTCCTTAATGTCACATGATTAATATATTCATGGTAAAGATTTAATATTTTCCTTAGTACCAAACCTTGGAGATATCATGTGCATCTTGACATATCAAGGAACAAAATTTTCATATAGAAAAAATGCCTCATGGCAGTGCAACCCAGCTAAGCATCTAGTCTGCATCTTCCTCTATGAGAATTAGGATATGTCGCATCGCTTTCAGCTGAAATATCATATCTATCGTGAGACTTTTAAAATTTTTTTTTTTTTTTTTTTTTATTTTTTTTTTAACAACTCTATAGAGAATTAAGAGATGCAGGCTCAGCCCTTCAGTAATTAATTACAAATTTTGTTCTACCCTAACACAAAACATGGTTCATACAAAATTTTCAGGCCCAAGGGAGGTATAGCAACTAGAGCATAACTCCAAACTTAAGGCACTTAAGTTAAGACCACCTACACTAAAAGGAACTTTAAAAGCAGATTCTAACGCACATCTCTAAGTGTTGACCTAAGGTAAGTATTTTTTTATAAAAAAAAAAAAAAAAAAAAAAAAAAAAAAATAAAAAATCTATCTAAAAAAAAAAAAAAAAATATCACAATATTGAACTTACATAAGCCAGACAGAAGGATGACAATGCACACCGTGCTACTCATTCCAACATGTGCCTCATAAATGCGAAGTGATTTTGGTCTCTTTGGCTGAGAATGTTGAAATACATACTTTTCCTGAAAAGAAGTGGATGAGAGTACCATTAGCCACTGAAAACTGAAACAGAAATACAAAACATGAGTATGTAAATGAAGCAGATTGAACTATTTATCGTCTTAACCATTTCATAAAATTAATAAACCTATAACCTATTCATAAATAAATGAACAAGTATAAGAATCCTAGGCAATCATTAATGACTTGTGGATCATTCCCACTCAAACATCACAAAGATTTGCCAAATTGAGATTCAGTACTATCGTTTAATTTTTTTTCTCTTCTTGAAGTTGTTACAGTGCAATATTGTGAAATTTAAAGATAATTTCTACAGAAGTTCTCCTCATATTGACTTTTATTATTGCAATACCAATGCTGCTAGCTTACTGCAGCCTGTCTTTTACCCAGAGCCGATATCATTGTTATCGGTATAAAGCATAACCGAAATATTTCCCGAAGAACATACCTCTTCTGGTGGATCGTAGTATATGCCATTGTATGGGATTTCACCTGGAGCCTGTACAGAAAACTTGATCCAAGCAGGAATGGAGTCCTTAATGCCTGAAGGAGTATCCATACGGATCTGCAATTTCACATAACATACTGAATGAACAAAAAAAAAACAACAACAAAAAAAAGAAAAAAAAAAGAAGCAAAGTCCTCTTATGGCAATAACATGACACTTGCAAAACTTGCAACTGTATCATGTTTTGTAACGATGTCCCATTCTCCACAGAAAAGTTCTACAAGAGACAAAATTCCAAAAAGCTAAGTGTATATAACCAAACTTTTCCCTAAAATTTTCACTATGGACAAGTTAACAGAAGAATTAGTTTACGGATTACTTTAACTGATAAGGATAAAGAAGCTTCTTTTTCTTCTCTGGGATCATGATTCATGAAGTATTGAAAAAATAGAGAATCACCAAGATCCAGCAAAACCAGACTTATAATCCTCAAGAAATGTCACCTTCACTCGAGAACCATGCGGAATCGCAGGTGAGCCATCTGCATTGTTTGGCAAAAATATCTCCCAGACTCCAAACTCATTCTGTTTACATATGGAACATGAGCAATGTTGTTGAAAAACAAACAGTAATCATGTAAGCTTGATGTAATTTACGCATTTTTTTATTCACTATCTGGGCATTCGCACAACTAAAGTTCCAAAAACATACCTGACTCATAACATCTGCATTCGTATTCCAATTGTTGAAATCTCCAATCAACGATGACTGAAAAAAAAGGAAAGGAATCCATCCCCCCAATCCAAAAAAAAAAAAAAAAAAAAAAAAAAAAAAAAAAATACCAACACAACCAACAACAACACCAACCAAAACCCCAAAAAAACAAATACACTGTCCATATACTCCTTGCTTGCTAATAAGTCACCCTTGCACAGAGTAACTAACAGAAAAATGTAAGCTCCTTAAAATATCAAACGAGGCAAACAAACCTTAGCTCCAGGTGCCCACTCCCTATAAGTGATACCCTCAGCACTGAAAATCCAGTACAGATAATTCAGCATTAAAGATATGCCGATCATAAAATAGATTTAAACCAAAAACCGAAGTTATTATGATAAAATAAAATCAATCCCAAAAGAATAAACAAAGAAAGATGTTACCCATGGAATAAATACAAAAATGTAAACTAAGACAGTAATGAGCAAACAAGCTAAAAAAGTGGAAGAGACTGTATCTTACAGATACATGGGCCTCATAACATTTTTTTCACAGGCCTGCTAGCCTGCATGGGTGATATATGATAACTATACTAACCTGCAAGTTGCTTAGAAATATCTATATTGCATTCTGCCACAGGCTGTGCACACAGTTACTACAAACATTGATCACGGGAAAATTTTCAAGAGCAAGCTTTTCATTTTCTCAAGTTTGGATCAAAATATATTGAATTGTGCTCCAATCAATAAAAAGGCCATAGGAACACATGTTGTTTTATTTAATATGGTGAACTTTGTCATCGTTCAGAATTATAATGGGTGTAATCACCAAACGGTACTCAAACCTTTTTTAGTTTTAAGGCCAGTATATGCAGTTTGAAATAATCAACTCCAGAGCATCTGTTCTGAAACACTAGAAGGTAAGGTTTGAGACACAAATATAAAGCAGAATGACAAAACTTTTCTTTTTATTCTGCCCTATTTGACCTTATACATCACCTCCCTATTAGCGTATTGCTGTTCCATATAAAAAGCAAAAGCAAGTAAAGAAATGGTGCATGTACATATTAAATGTTGTAAACTACTAGAAAACATGGAAACATGCTTGGACTCCTGCAGATATCAGATAAAAGTAATACCTGCGTGTGAACCCAAACTTCTCATAGCCACGAGAAAACACCTCCAAGCCACCTTCATACTTGTCAATCTCCTCACGCAGCCTTTTGTATTGTCCATAACTGGGCATAGTAAAACACAATCAGTTAAAATCTTATTAATCTAATTTGAATATAAAGCTAGCAAGAAGGATTTGTAAGGGGGGAAAAAAGAAAGAAACATAATTCAAGCAGCAAAAAGAATCTTGCGCTTGCTACATTAGCCAGCTAGCAGGCATATGCCATTTGCTTGAAAGGGGCAGGGACATGATTGTTAATCCATTGCTTTAATTTTCAATTTAGGCCATCATTCGTTGAAGTTGTTAATGTACTTACTACTTAGAAATTCAAATATGAAAGGGCATCCTACCGGTAATCAAGATGATCACGGAAACCCACCAAAAGTGGATCTATTTCATATATCTTTTTCCCATTTCCAGGTGGTGGAATTGACTTTTGTGTGGCATTCTTTTTAGCAGTACTTACTGTCCCGTCTAAGGGATGAGGTGTTTCCTCACCCCTGGCTTCAGTGCCATCGACATTGCCTGCATCTAATGAAGGAACATTACTTTCTTCGCTTCATCCTCAACCTTCTTATCATCTTCCATTGCAACATTATCTACATCCTCAAGCACCTAAACAAAAATCATCAATGCTCAGTAAAGTAATATGTTATGTGGGATCTAAGAAGTCATGTAGAAGTTGACTATGCTATGGCAACATAACTGTTATGCATATACATGGGTATCATAAACCTGAGGATCCTCCGAAACTGTGCCGGGAGCTTCCAATTGCTCTGTCACAGATGAAGAGCCATCACTCTGGCTATCAGAAACAAGAACTTTCTTTGATGCAGCAACCGTTAAAGACGAATCAGAATCATACGAAGGCTTTCCAGCAAAGATCTTCCCTACAAACAAGCATCAAATTAGCTTAACATTATATAACAAGACAACAATAACATGTAGACGATCACTGAGAAAAGAAATCATTTTTAAGATAATAAATTCATCTTTTAAGCACACGTGATTGCCAATATAAGTCCAATCGACCAAACAAAAGATTCAATTGGAATCGCGTAACCCAAAAGGAGAACCCTAGAGAAACAGACAATGAAAATCCCATTTGGTACTAGAAAGATTAGCTTTGCTTTTTCAACAAATTAAAAAAGAGAAATTGCTATCAGTCATTGTAACATAACATTGCGTCCATATGATCCGTATCAAAATTTATATGCTTTATTCTTTTTCTCTTCAAAAGCATACGTCTCCATTACAAGTACACTGTTCTGAGCTTCCAAAAGCTCACGGCATATCCAAGCAAGCTCCAGACACTGACCGCTAAAACAATCAACCTAGCATAACTTCAAAAACTAAAAAGAAAAACAATATAATATTAACATATTTAAAATAAAATAAAAAATCGTATTCTCTTGACAGAACTTCCAACACGCAGAGAAACCGAATCGAAAGCATACATTATTGGAAATGAAAAATGAGGGGAAAAAGAAATAGAGGGAGAGGGGGTACGAGAGAAGGAGCTGTTGGTGAGGAAGAGAGAGAGGCTGGAGGTCCTCCGATCGCCATTGAAGCTGGAATGCAAGGAAGCAGAGTTGTTGCTGTTGTTGTAGGCCGAAGGTAGAAGCGGGAAGCGAATCCCCGCGAGAGTCGAGACCATTTTCTTTCTTCTTCAAGGATTTTCTTTTTGTTATAACCAGAGAGAGAGAGAGAGAGAGAGAGAGAGAGAGAGGGAGAGAGAGATCGAAGAAGCGAGAAGAAAGATGGATCGATCTCGAAGCAGAGTTTTTTTGGCCGAGTTTCGAAGCTCGTCTCCCGGGAGAAACGTGAGTGAGTGAAGGAACAGAAAAATCGGGGAGAGAAATAGAGAGAGTGTAATTTGTGTTTATTATGGCGCTGGATGCCACGTGTGCAGTTGAGAATTGCATGGGGATCAGTGGGTGGGACCCAGTCGCTTCTCCTCATTTTCGATCGTCCATCGTCGTCGGGATTTTAATTTTTTTAAAATAAAAATGAAATAATGGGATTGCACGTTGGAGAGATGAGGAACGAAAGGCTCTTGAGGGGTGTGGGAAAGGGAGAGAGGGAGGGGCCATCGAAGGGATATTTTTGTGTTTGTTGCTTGCTTGTTGCCTTTCTATTTGTCTATCAAACAAAGGTCCTTTCTATAGTCGAAAAGACCAAATAAAGGTCCTTTATGTGATACTATTTTTGGATGAAATTAATTTCTTGTTATCTTTACATGAGTTACAATTTGATTGGATAATGGTTAATACAAATTTATCTGGTTTATGCTGATTGTTACTTCACACCAAATTGGAAATGACACAATTTACTAGTATGGAATTGATAAAAAGTTTATTTATTTATTTTTAGAATAAGCGATTGAGGAATGAGAGTTTACACAAATTTTCATTGGGTGTCTGGGTTTTGAACCTCTGCCCAAATGGGTGGAGGTAGAAAAACTCAACCAATTGAGTTATATCCTATTGACAAAAAGTTGAAGTCATTTTTTTGGACATGACATGGCCTATTTAACTTGAGAAGGGATTTTCACACTCCCTTTTTCTCTATTTTTCTTCATGTTATTATAACCGTTGGTCTAGATTGAATCCGAATTGAAATCCAAAAAAAGAAAAAAGAGAAAGGATTATCAATGTAGAATTAGTTGCATGTGTCTGAAGTTCGAGATAGTATCGATATTAGGTAAGAGATTGATAGTCCGTCTCTTTTAATTGTGATAACTGCTCTTAATTACTCATACTATAAGCCCACTAACATGTACTATTAAGAAGGGAATCAACTAGAAAATTTTGTAGGTAAATCAAGAGGAGTATGTCATGCATTAATTCCATTTCCCCGCTGAGATATATAGTCACTCCCCCTCTCATTATCAAGTACCAAAAATGAAGTCCCTTCATCACCTAACCACCACAACCGACAGTTTTGCTCTCACAACAGAGATTTATGTTTCATCTATAAGTATATCCTTGAGGTTATAAAAGTAAATTACAGCGTGCCTATTAGTATATATATTGGCATGTAATTTCAGTCATTGTGTGACTCTGTTTCTCTCTCTGTCTCCCCAGTCACTATCATGGCCTTCCTTTTCGGTTGATTATTTTTGAAATCCCATTGGCTAACCTATGGCCAAGGCAATACCCTACTTGCAAAGTAAATTTAGCCCATTGTATTTTCAAATCCTAGGTCTGTCCGTCGCTACGAGATTTACATGTAAAGGTCATATTTTGCTGCAACTCGCACATGCAGAAAAGGAATGATCCTCGGAAAGGAATATGCCTTCCATCAAAGGAGGCATTTGGCATTTTGGCTGCATCAAATCATTGAAGCAGATTATTGACGACAAGACACTAGTGGCAAGTGAAGTGTAATTGTTTGGTTCCTAGTGCGATTTGTCACTTGTCACTGTGCTTTTTGCATGAGAATGGGAATAGGAATAGCTACAATAACAATGTTACCTCTACCTCTACAGTAATGGTCTGTTTTGGAAGGGTTGATTCAGAACTAAAAGCCCTTTTGAAAACATTTGACAAAAAAACTTGTTTTGGGTTCATAAAAGTGTTTTCTGAGGATGCTTCTTCATGAAGCACTTTGATTTTTAATAAAAATTTCAATGTGCTTATAATAAAAGCACTTACGAACATGAGTGCTTTCTACAAAAGCAAACCAAAACGAGCCCTTACTTCCATCAAACTCTTATTGTAACCTTGCATCATGTGTGTTTGATCCATTCTAGTATATAACTTGCAACATTAGTTTCTAACAACGTTTGATGCACCAACTATTTCTCTCAAGGAGATTTCATCTCCTATTTAAGCTACATAGTTTACAATTTTATCATTTACGAACTGATGTGACATGTGCACAAAGAAAAAAAAAGACAGATACGATCGAGTATGACAGAGGTAATGTTCCAGTTTCTCTGGTTTGGTATTGAATGGCTCAAGCAGGCAAGAACAAAAACAAGAAAAAGGGAAAAAGGGAGGATTTGGAACTTGGAAGGCGGATAAGGTGAGGTGGAAGAACAAAACTGCTGTGAAGCTTCAATATCTTTCAAAGGTTCACACAAATTATATCATTATAAAATGATGCACCTGAACAATTTCTGATATACTAGCTGGTAACCAACATGTTCCACGCCTTGATTATAGGCTTTGCCAAAATTTTCTAGCAAATAGATAGCTTATTATGAGTCTATGACAATTTAGTATGTACCGCAGAGTTGAAACTAGTTTGCCAAAACATCGGTATTGCGGACTATCTTCATGGAGGGGAGCACAACTGCAGCCACTGGTCTTTCCTCCATACCACCGCCTTCATCAATGATCAGCCTGAGCCCTTCAATATGAAGTTTCCCGTGATGACCGCTTACGACAACAGTTGGATTCTCTGTCAGTTCCTATGAGATACAAAAACACCAAAAATCTACAGAATTCAGTTGCATTCCATTGTATGAGGATGTATAGCTTATCTCAGTCAACCCACAAACATGAAATTTTCATCATTGAATGTAAGCAATCTATAGAACACAAAATCACGGGACAATAAACTGGGAAGGTTTCATTAAAGTGGAATGCTGATGTTATGAGGTAGAGAGCCATCACCTTTGGTATATTCCATACATTTTTCCTGCCACTCAAAGCCTCTATCTTAGGCACCCGGGTGTCTCTGGCTCTCAAAAATTCCAACTGCTGTTTGACGTCCTTTTCTTTCTCTAAACCAGCGTGCACTGCGATCAATTTGCAGTGTTTGATTCCATCCTCAGTCTCTACACACACATCATCCTGGAAAAAATGCACACCATCAAGACCCACTAAAAGCTTCAGCATGTGTTCCTATGGTTCTCAATTACTGCATTCTGCTCCAGGACACACAAAAGAATGGGAAAGTGAACCAGTTGAAATTTAAGTTTTCTTCTCACGTTTTACACGACTCTAGTCAGATGCAATTGAGGATCCTGAAAAAATTAAGATAAGAGGAAATAAAACAGGGCTGACCTCTTCATGGACCCAAACCATATCAGCAAGAAACTTCTTATGTTCATCAGGAACTGCCTTAACCAAATCTGTCCACAACAATTGTTCTTCCAATTTAGAAAGTAACAAAACAAAATCCTAGCACTGAATTAACTAATAAAGCACACAATCCAGTCCAACTCCAAGTATAGACAGCTAGCTGGCCGCATAAAATTACTGAATACCATTAAGTTAATTGCTATTGAAGAGAACTGGAAATCACATGATTTGAATACAAAATACTTGAAAAATTAAGAGACCCATCGGCTGCCTTCAAATAGCTAAAAGAACATGGATCAAGCACAACCATTTCATTGCAAATTGAACCAATAAAAAACAATTCATAAGCACTCAAAACCAACAAACAGAGAATCAAACAAAATCAAAACACAGAGACCCCATCAACACAAAAAAAACCATGAATCAAACAAATCAAGCAAATCAAAATTCTTAATATTGAAACTCATACCAGCAGAACCATGAGGAACCCCATAAGACGCAAAGGTGGGCCCAGCATCATAAATCGAACCTTTGTACTGGGTATTTTTGGCTGCATTAAACTTGTCCTTGATACTACCAGCCCATCTCCTACCTTGCAAGTGCATTCTCTCATACCCATCACCCTTAAACCACCCTTCTCTCTCTTCATTGGCCTCATACTCCTTCCAAGCCACAGAAAACTCAGAGCCATCCAAAGGCTTAGGCAGGACCCCCACAAAGGCTGCAAAGGCCAGGTCATGGTTCCCAGACAGAAACACGTGTCTCTGATTTGGGTACTTGGAGGGCAGAGAGATGAGAAAGTCCAAAACTTTTTTGGTGTCTGGGCCGCGGTCACAATAATCACCCAAGAAAATTATGAGGGCAGCGTTGAAATCTGAAGGGTCGATTGTGGTTTGAAGATTAGACCAGAGATTTTGGAGCTTGGTGTAGAAGCCATGGGTGTCGCCTACGCAGCAGACCACTCTGGGTTTCGTTGTGCAGGCTTTTGGTTCAGACATAATTTTTCTGTCTTCGTCTTCTGTGAGATGCCTGATGTATCTGTGTACGTGGAAGTTTGAGTTTTGAGGCTAATGGTTGTTGGGCTGGACTTTTTGGAGGTTGAATTATATACGTGGTGTGTTTGTGGCTGTGATAGCGGTTGTTTAGTAAGCATAAGCTGTCTGGAAAAAATTACCATATTTATTAGGGTAAATTGCCGAATACTCCCCTGAATTATAACGTTTGTCGAAATGTCTACTGTGAATTATTTGTTCAGCCAATTTAACCATCAGATTATTTTAAATGGCCAATTTAGCCCTTGCCGTTAAGTTTTTAGACTTCCATTCTCTCTTTCTCTCTTCTTTTTTTTATATTCTTTTTCCTTTTCCTTCTTTACCTCCCAACTCTATCTCCACCTCCTTCCTCGTTGGTTCAGTGAGCCACCAAATTCTGAGATAAACTCCAAATAGCTATTTTATCAAAAGCCCTTTTGTCAATTCCAAAAACTCTGAATACCATAAACTCAATTTAGCCCAAAACTTTTGAAACTCAAATCACCCAATTGCTGTCGCAGACCATCAAGCCATGGTTTGTAAATTTCTAAACTCAAAACCCAGAAAGAGGAAGGAGAAGAAATCCCTAAACCCAAATTGGTTTGCTTGAGAACATTGCAAATTAATATCCATGGTAGTGTTGTAGAGGTGGGTATATCTTCAAGTCCTCCTCCTTCTCCACCTTCGCTGTTGCTCTTTCACTGGAAAAACATCCGCATCTCTTTCACTAAAAAAACCTTGCAGATATGGGATTGTAGAGAGAGGGTTTAGGGGATGGGGTGGGGAAGACGTTGATTGCTGCTATGTTTTTTTGTTTTTGTTTTTTGTTTTTTGTTTTTTGTTTTTGACCTTTTTAGTTTTTAAAGATTTAATTATTTTTAGCAGAAAATTGGATGAAACTACATGGAAACTAATGGCAGGGTTAAATTGGCCATTTAAAATAGTCTTATGGTTAAATTGACTGAAAAAATAATTCATGGCGGACATTTCGACAAACATTATAGTTCAGGGGGGGTTTTCAGCTGTTTACCCTATTTATTAACCACTATTTTTTATAAAAGTAATTTATAAAAAATAAATGGTAAGGTCTGTAAATATGATACAAGTAGCATTACTTCTTGTGATTTACGTAAATCACTTCTATTTTTATAAACTGTATAATTAATAATTTGATAAGTTATGACCAATAGAGTGTTAGTTGAATTGGCTTAAGTCTTTGGTGTGCTTCAAAGTGGTCTGAGTTTGCTCTCGTGGTACATGTGTGTGAGTTTTCCTCCCTCGCCCTATTTTCAGGGTTTAGTATCCCAATGAGAAATTGCTGTTCAATTTGGCTAATTTGTATGGTTTTACAATTATTTGGTTACTTATTTTGTTGGTAGCTTTAGGGGTTGGATGGGAGAGTGTTTACACTACATTGAAAAGAACAGATTGTTTAGGGAAAAAAAGAAAAGAAACATTCATGATCAAGAAAAATAATACATCTCATTTTGGATACAGTAAATTATATAGTACAAACAATACTCTGTTTACATCAAAGCATTTTGCCTTGCCTATTATACCTGAATTGTAACCGCTCATGTAGAAAAACCAGGACAAAAGAATGCCATAATACACAAAAATGGGGCAACTGTTTTGTTTCCCTCATCCTTGACTAACAGAAAATACTATCCTATTTTTCTAAGACTCTGAGAATTGTAGAAGTGAAGCTGTTTATTTATCTCCTTTGGAAGTTGAGGAACTTGATGCCATAGGCAAACACAAAGAAGAAAAGCAGAACCCAGCCAACGTGTGCTGCGGCGACAGCTGGCAGGAAGTCATGCTCAAAACCCAAGTCATCCTTGAGGAACTTCTTCAATGGCATGGTACCATATCCAGGTAGCACAAGATCAGCATTTTTGTCACCCACTTGAGAGGTCACAAGGCCATAAAGTGTCCAGGCCACAGGTGAAGCCCAGTAGTACCACCTCCACCAGATAGGAATTTGCTGCAACAGATTGTAAAATATTAGCTCTTGTTATGCAAACACAAAATAGAGATTCAAAGTTGCTGTGGAATTTTGAAGTTTAATTTATATGTCCCGTACCGGCCTAGGAATGAGAAAGCCGGAAAACAAGTTCCAGAAACTGAGGAAGAAGGACATAACAATGGCAGCAATCTGGTGGCCTGGAGTTAGTGCAACCACCATCATACCGTACATTGTGAAGTAGACGAAGCACATTAGAATGTAGTAGTAGAACCACAGGAATTTGCCTACTTTCCACTCAAATCCAATCATAGAATAGAGGAGAAGAGTGTAAATAAAAGTTTGAATTGCAACATAGATTGTCTCTATGGCCACCTGCAAAACAAGGGAGATAAGTCTTCAATGAAGTAAACAGAATTGAACGTATCTGCTAAACTCATCAGCTTTACAAAGAAAAAAATTTCTAAACTATTTGCCAATTGTATATATTACCTGAGCAAATGCATAAGGCAGTTCAGAATACATCCCGGCAGCTCTTTCGCGGTAGAAAACTGTTCTTTCGATAGCAACAACAGATTGGACCGCGGAAGCATTGGTGGCTCCAAGGAAAAGCACAGCAGCATACATGGCTCCCAAAAGGTTCATGAGATCTTGCTGTTGGGTTCTGTTATAAGATAATTTTAATTTACATCAAATCAGATGCCAATAATATGATTTTGTTAATTATGCAGTTCGAATTGATCAATTGTACAGTGTCTTCAAGGGCACATGATGCATTTTCTTCTAACCAAAAAACTATGGAATTAAATGAATTAGTCCAAGGAAACCAGAGCTTACGTCTGCTGTCCCTTTTGCCAGAAGATAAGACCAAATAAACAACCAATGACTATTGTCATAAAGAATCGAATGGCATTGTACTGAGGGTTTCTCCAATAAGACCAATGCATTTTCCAGAAAGAGGCTTTGCACTGAACAGAGAAAGGTTGGGAGTATTTGGTTGGGAAGAAGAGATCCTTGGACCCTGGCGCCGCAGTACTAAGATCTTTGATAAGTTCCTGGTTCCTCCTAAAAGAACGTCGAGAGGAAGAGTGAGAATCATAAAACTAGAAATCCGAGGCTACCTGAGAAAGCAATTATCATTCAGAGAAAAGAAAAAGAAATTCAGGCTTACTGGTAAAGTGAGGAGTTGGCATAAATGTCTGCAAAGTCCACATCAAGTTGAGCCTCAACTGCAGGAGCAGTGACCTCAAGCATCCATGTAGCAGGATTGTAACCATCTTTGATCTTAGTGACCCCTGGGACGGCCTGTAGTTGGTTATAGATATGAGTCCATAGTGCATTAAAATCACTAATGAAGGATGTATACAAAATAAGAACCAAAGGAAAACTCACCTCAAAATATTCTACAAGCTTGTGAGACTGGCGACCAAGAGGTCCAGCATAAATGACTTGTCCTCCGCGTTTCATCAGAAGTAACTGTGGCAAGTACAAATCAGGTTGAAAATATGTAAGATGGATTTATAGAGAGAAAAGAGAAAGACATTGAGGTAATGAGAGTCTTGGAAATTGAGTGACACCTCATCGAAAGCTTCAAAAATATCTATACTTGGCTGGTGAATTGTGCAGACGACAGTTCTCCCCGTGTCCACTGTGTTTCTCACAGTACGCATAACGATAGCAGCAGCCCTGGCATCAAGCCCAGATGTTGGTTCATCCATGAAAATGATAGAGGGGTTGGCAACCAGCTCCACAGCTATGGTTAATCTCTTCCTTTGTTCTGTTGAAAGACCATCTATTCCTGGAAGGCCAACGAGAGCATCTCTTATTGGGTTAAGCTCAACCAGTTCCATGACTTCTTCAACAAACATCTGTGTCCCCATTAAAAAGGAAAATGATCAGACGTGGGATCATTGAAAAATAGGATTCCAAATAAGATTCTGGTGAGGTCTAGCAAGGGATAATCATAGACCACACAACATACCTTTCGTGTTTGTGTCTTTACTTCTGAAGTAAGACGGAGCCAGGCTGAATACAGGAGAGATTCGTAGACAGTAACATGAGGCGAATGAATGTCATTCTGTTCACAATAACCGCTAACACGAGCAAATGTTTCTTGGTTCTTTGGATAACCAGAGATGCTAATGCTCCCTTCAATATAGCCACCAGTCTTTCTTCCCGCTAAGACGTCCATAAGAGTTGTCTTTCCAGCACCACTAACACCTACAAGTGCTGTCAATATGCCTGGTCTAAAAGCACCGCTGACATCTCGTAGCAGTTGAAGGCGATCTTCTTCAACTCCTTGACTCTTCATTTCCTGAAATGAGATACCGGATGTTCACTTCAGCATAAACCCTTTAACTATTTGTATTAAACGATAACATCTTCCATTGAAAAGGAGGCTGTTTCTTAATCAAAAAGGAGTAGGTAAAACATCAGTAGTGAAATGTTTAAAATGAATGACTTACAGCAGGCATATCCACGTAGTAGTTCACATGGTTAAACGCAAGTGAAAGGGGTTGGAAGGGCAAAACCATTCCTTTCTTTGGTGCATGATCTGAACCACCAACAATTTCTGAATAACTTTTCACTGCCATATCTATATCTGTAATTATTCATGAAAAGGTCAGGCATATAACAATTTCTTTTCAATATTAATCACAAATTATGATGTCCTTTTCCATCAGAATGCTCAAACTTTTGATGGAAAAGAAACCAAAAACTATAGGGGAGAAGACAAATGTGCAAACCTTCACTTGATGTCTTCTTTCTCTTTCCCTCACTTCCATCATCAGCTATGACAGCTTTTGTATCTCCAAGAGCTGATTGATTTCCAAATGTAAAAAAAGAAGAGGGTTGTCAATTGTGGAACTTCATTTCCATAAACGAAAAAGAGTAGAATTTGAAATGAGATGAACTTACGGTTCAGAAAAGTCAATGCTGCAATGAAGAAAATGTTGAAGAGAAAAGAAAACCCAAATAGTGCTCCAACACATATCCAATACCA